ACTACTACTACTACTACTACTACTACTACTACTACTACTACTACTACTACTACCAATAATAATAATAATAATAGCGCAAATCTCTACTCAGCAGCAAGATCTATGCGCTTTACAATCTACGTTATTACCCCATCAGGCTCTAGAATATGCAGAGACATTCTTGACTTCTGAGGAAGCATACAGTACAAGCAGCCGATTAAGTGCTCAAACATTAGCAAACGGACAAGCTCTTTCACTGTCTATAGCCGAAGTAGATCTCCAAAACCAAAAGAGAATAATTAAGAGCTTTGGAAAAAAATTGACACACTCCATTGAATCATGATTGAATAACAACCCTGCACTATACGTGATCATAAGTGGTGTTTTGTGGATGCCTTTACTTTGATAGGTCAACACTACAATGGTTATTTTTGCTATATAAGACACCGGCGCCAGGTAACACAGAAATCTTCTTTTAGTTAAAAAAAAAGAAGCTTTACGTACACCGCCCTACTTCTGCACATCATGAGATGTGTAGATCAGACAAACACAACTTAACCATGTAACAGGCGAGAGAGTGGGTGGTTGGCCAGTGTTCTGGTGTGGTTTGCTTAATTTAGTCCTGTTAAAAATCTACCGTCCGTTTGTATTTCTCTTTTTTTCTTTGTTTGTTACTCTCTAGTAACGCCTATAATCTTCCAACATTCAGCACTTGTTATATGACCTATTCGTTTTGCAAGTGCTGTCAAACTCTTATTACTAAAACTATAACTTCCAATGGCCAATGCGAAAACGGTCATATTTGCCTTAAGACATATCTTGTGACACAGAATTTTTCTTTTTAATCTTAAAAAAATTGTTACGTTCACTCACATTTATGTGCACATTATGAGATGTGTGAATAAGACATGTACACTTTAATAGTCAAAAACAGCGACATAATCATGCATCGGCTACTAAAACAATAGATAAGAAAAAGACATAATTTTGCTTATCCCCTCGACATAGAGGCCGGAAAGACTCAGAACAAAGTAAGTAACATTATCAGACACTGAGGCTGTAGTGTTCATGAATCATTATTGTGGTGTTTTTTGTGCTGGGATCTGTATTGTTTTTTTTTGTGTGTGTGCAGCAAATCTGAATGATGTCTTGTGTGCTATGCTTCAACAGTTTTCTAGAGATAGTTTCCGATAGTTCATAAAATCGCTCCACTTACTGTCAGACATTGAATAGATCAAAAGTTTAACTGCTTGAAAATTTTATTTTTTACATGGAACAAACTCATTGTCGTTTTTAAGGAAGTGAACGTTTTCACTTTCTTTTTCATTTTATTGTTTTGATTGAGGATTGACGTGTATATCATAATATCAGTTTGGTTTTTGTTTTATGAATAAAAAGGTTTTCGTTAACAGTTGTTTTACAAAAGATGACATGATTTGTATTTTGCTTTTTTACTACTTAATGTAGTTTCGTTTTTAAACTGTCAATTAGTCATTACATGACTTATTCAAGAGTTCAGCTTATTTTCCAAAATTGTTTTTACTCATCGTTTCTTCCCAATGCTGTATTTAGCATCTTGCTCTGTTTGCTAATGTATGTATCCTGCTTCTGTCTGCAAGCGCTGTTCCAAACATGACTCACTTAGCTCTGAGTCAAAATCGAATTGTCATCAGTATTTTGATGCCATACAAATGACCTACCATAGAAGACCGCATCTCCCCTCGACGCTCAACGGCAACAGAGGATAAAAAAAGAAAAATAGAAATAGAAAGTGGGCTGGTCGAAGCATTTGCTTAGCTGGTACATGTATCTGGGTAGACTTTCTGTGACAGGGTGACCCAGGCTGAGTGGCCAGAGGGAGAGTTCTCATTGGTGGAGACTTCTCATTGGTGGAAAGTTCTCGTTGACGGAGAGTTCTCATTGGTGGAGAGGAGTTCTCATTGTTGGAGAGTTCATGGAGAGTTCTCCGTGGTGGTGAGTTTTCATTTGTGGAGAGTATTCATTGGTGAAGAGTTTTCGTTGACACACTTGGATTGGTTCTGTTTGGGACTCTGATGTAGTCGGAGGTTTCAGCTCTTGTATAACCAGGCTGGGTTGAGTGCTACGGTCAACACCATAACACATGTTGGTGTAGGCCACGTGTATAATTATACTATGTGAACATACAAAGCTGAAAATAAGTGAGATCTTTCAGACTAAGAACACAACACACAAGACTCTGACAACACGTTTACAGATGTATTAAAATAGTACTATCACCGAAATGTCAGTGTGGAGAGGGGGACCAAAATGTGGAACACATCCTCCAGCAGTGCAGGGCACACTGAGCCCTGAGACAGGACACTCACAACACACACACACACACACACACACACACACACTTGCACACACACACACACACACACACACACACGCGCACACACACAAACACACTCACCTCCAGCAGTACGGGACACACAGAGCCCTGAGACA